TGTTTGCCCGTTCTGTATTTGCGTTTTCTTTCCAAACTATAATTTGTAATACGATTCTTGACTTATTTTAATCTTATTTTGTTTCACCATTGAATAGCTTTGATTTGAAGTTAATAAAATGTTTGGTTCACATCATTGTTGTCAGATACATTTCGTGTATACACTGAATTAAATAAATAAAAAGTTATACAGGGAAATACATAAGGTAATTTTGTGGTAGTTTCAAAAAATTTTTCATCTTTGAAATTATTTGTTTATTGAAATGCGTTTGCTAAGTTATGTATTCATTTCTTAACTTTACAAAATTTTTAGGCGTAATTTTTGGTGATCAGCAAAAGTTGCCGAAAAAAAAATGTGAAAATGCATCTTGTAGTGATTGTTATGAAGGGAGAAATTGTAAATGAACACAAAATGTATAGCTAAAATTTCTAGAAATCTGTCTTGTTTAAATTATAAAAAACTTTTGCTTTATAATGACGGACAGAAAAAAATTTACACTTATAAAGGTCCAACAAAAATGCTTTTTTCAAGAAAACTGTTGCGGACAAGACCGATAGATATAAGGCAGATTTTTTGAGAAAATCACACTATCAGTAACGACATGAAAATAGCTATTGAAAATGTTTTTTCAAAACATGACAGTTTAATCTGCATTATCAAGAGACAATTAACGATTATGAGTTTACATAAAGAACAGCTGAAAGGAAACTACAATTGTTCAAGAAGCATCTGAAACTGCGCACGGGTTCATCTGGACAAAGTCATCCGATTTGTGTTTGCCAGAAAATCATTCCTGTATTGTTCTGTGTCAAATTTCGTTTAAAATCTTAGAATTTTTTTCAAAAATTATGTGACAACTCAAATATAGAACTTTTCTGAAATCGATGTTTAAGTAAAAATGATTTTTTGGTCAGTTTTTTTACTAATATTTCTTGTAAATAATATAAAACGTGTTTAGTTCATATTAGTTGAGAGAAACTTAACTCTGGGGTGACAACAATTTTTTGCTTTTAGGATACAGGTTTACGAAAAATTTTTTCCGCTTTTGAAATCTGCTCAAACTTGGTTCTTGTTGCCTGACCTGTAAAATGAAAACTGCAGATCAACATTTCTTATCAATCTAAAAATTCCAGATCAACCTTAACATTTTGTGAATTACTCGAATAGTATACATGTTACAAAGGTGTCTGATTCTGGTCTCAGACAGCACTTTTTTCTTTTCAACAATAGCAATGCTACTGGGAAATAGCAGTGAACAATTTACACTGCCTTCAGCTCGAGACTTTCAGATGACCAGACATAGTTACATAAAGGTACACCACCAAATCGACGAATGATTGATGTGATGATGATTCTGCTGTTTACCAATTACAATTTAGTAATTAATAAAGTCTTTAGCTTAAACGTAATTTATGCCTCTAAATGCTGCTCTAAGTTGATTTATTTGTAAATTAAAAAAAAAAATTGAAAATTGAATTTTTGAGCAATAATTTTTGTAATATTAGCAAAATATAATAAATAATCCATCTCAAATTTTTACACAATTGTTGACCGTAACTGCTATGGGAATAGTGCAAGAAAAAGAAAGTATTGAACGAGTGTAAGAAAAAAATAGAAAAAATCTTATCTTAATATAGTTGACAACAGTTATCAATTTGTTCAATATTTGATAGCTGTAGCAACCAGTTGCTAGCAGCAGTAGCTGAAACTTTGTTCTGCAAAAATAGATCTAATCAATCTAAGACAGATCGATTTTGAGCTGAAACTTTGTTCTGCGAAATAGAT